GTCCTCCCAGCCAGCCTTCCTGAGGTCCTCCTGCCAGCCTTCGGCAGTCCTCCCGGTGGTACCGCCCCCGCCCACCCCACCCCCACCCCCACCACCGCCAACTTCCTGCCAACCTTCCCTCAGTCCTTCCCACAGTCCCCCCCACAGTCCCCCTGGCCATCCATCTGGCGGGCCTTCCCTCCAGCCTTCCCGCAATCCTCCCCTGGATCCTCCCCACCAGCCTCCCCGCCAGCCTCCCAGCGGGCCTGTGTGCACCACTGAGCAGCCAGCTTGGGAGCCGGAGCTCAACGCCCTGTGGTGTGCAGGCCAAATCCCAGGAGGCGAGTGGCTCCCTTCCTAGGCATCAGCACAGGCAGCCTGCGGTGACGGAGAGGTGACTGTCAAAAGTCCAGAGCGGTTTTCTTTGGGACCTAATGCTGTTTCTGTTCTAATAAAATTCTGAACCTTCAGATTAATTTTTAAATTTTATTTAGGATCAATTTATTTCCTGATGGAGCTTATAAATGAAATAAAATATTGAATGTGACCCAACATATGAATTGATTTTTCTAGGTAAGGAAACAAGATCTATATAAACAGTAAAAATGTGTACATATTTGATTTCACCCAAATTTGAAAACCACAAATCCATCTCCAGTGCACACTGAACATTGAACAAGGGAAGACATATGCAATCAGAAGAAAAAACTAATTTCAAAGTTGAGATCATATGCACTGTCTACTAACCCCAACAGGATTTAATCGTAAATCATGAACAGAAATGAATCTGGGCAATCCCCTTATAAACAGGACGACACAAACTGGGCTAAGTGGCRCACACCTGTAATCCCAGCGGCTTGAGAGGCTGAGGCAGGAAGATGGCGAGTTCAAAGCCAACCTCAGCAAAAGTGAGTCACTAAGCCAATCTGTGAGACCCTTTCTCTAAATAAAATACAAAAACCACATACTCCTAGTTGAACTACAGATCAAAAATAAGCTGGCATTGTGGCCAACAGCTGTCATGCCAGCAGCCCTAAAAGCTGAGGCAGGAGGATAGAAAGTTCAAGGGCAGCCTCAACAACTTAGCAAGACCCTGGGTCAAAATAAAAAAATAAAAAGGGCTGGGGAGGTATCTTCGTGGTAAAGCACCACTGAATTCAATCCCCAGTTTAAAAAAAAAAAAAAAAATAAGGGCAATTTGTAACACTAAATACTTTTATAGGAAGTAAAAAGTACCRAAATACATTATACAAGCTTTTATTTTAAGTTAAACTAAGCAAATCAACCCCAACAAAACGGCAGGCAGTGAATACATATAGTGGTTCAGTAAAAGACAAAATGGACATGTTCAAATCAAACCTAAAGTTCAGTTTTTTATACTCTTTGGTGGGGGATGCCAATTACTGAGAATGTGAGTCATGAATGAGGGGGCCTCACTAAAGCTTCTACAGATGTTAAAGGGATCCAAGGAAGTTACCAGGTAGAGTCCACAGGGGTTGCTAAATATCACAAAGGCACAAGGCGTTGCTGGCCAAAATTCAGGGTCACTTCTGTTGCTACTTTCAACATTTTCTCTGACCTTTTGACCTTCATAGTTTGATTATGAGAATGTTGAGCTATAGTTTTCTTTGCATTTAATCCACTTAGGTTTTGTTAAGCTTCTTGAATCAATAGGGCTGATGGTTTTCACCCAAATTTGGAAGTTATCCATTCCTATGTCTTCAATGTCTTTCTCCTCCTACTTCTTTTTAGCTGCATGGCTGAAATGGCCCTCACACGCACTCTTCATTTTTACTGACCTTCTAAGTAGATTTTAAACTTAATAACCATACTTTAATTTTGGTTTGTTGACAGTTTTGTACCATATAAAAATTATGACAGCCGGGCACTGTGATGCATGCCTATAATCCCAGGGGCTCRGGAGGCTGAGATAGGAGGATCAAAAGTTCAAAGCCAGCTTCAGCAATGGCAAAGTACTAAGCAACTCAGTGATACCCTATCTCTAAAAAAAAAAAAAAATACAAAATAGGGCTGGGGGTGGGGCCCAGTGGTTGAGTGCCATGGAGTTCAATACCGGGTACAAAAAAAAAAAAATTATGACAAGCCCATCTACAGATGTTTTCATTTCAGTTATTGTAATTTTTAGCCTTAAAATTTCCACTTGGCTTTTATCATTTCCATTTCTTGGAGGTGATACTCCATTTATTAATTCATTCTTGTCATATTTTCCTAAACTTTTGAACACATTTCATAAAATATAAAATCGAAAAACCAGCCTCTACCTCAGAGCAAAGCCTATCCAAGGAAGGGGGCGTGACCCTTGTCTTTAGAAAGACCCACAGAGCACTCCTAGGCACATACCCACCCTGCTGAGTTGTTTGTCTACAAATAACAGGAGAGATCTGCAGAACCAGGTATCCCTGACTCAGTCAGCCTAGGTGAGGACCCTAGCAACCCCCTAGCAACCACCAATCAGCATGAGACAGGGAAATACCTGGGATGCCAGATGACCCCCCAGTAGTTTATGGTGGTTGATAACAAGTTGGGAAACCATGKAGTTCAGCATGTACACCCCCAGGGCCTAAACCAATCAGTTCAAAGAATCCCCCTCTTGTACTGACCAATCACCCCTGCCCAACTTGTTCCCACCAGTGAATGTGCTAATCATGTTTTAGAGTTGTTTTATGATTTTCCCGCGGTGTGTGATGATTTGCTRAGAGATGCTATGATGTATGTGAAGTCCCTGCCTTCCCCAAAGAGTGTATAAGACTGCTGCAAACCCTGGGCTCGGGGCCTCTTGACGTCACTAGTTGCTGTGTGCTCGCAGAGGACCGACCTAGCTGGCAATAAACACCTCTTTGCTGCTTACATCTTTCTTGGTCTCTGGTGGTCTTTGGGGGTCCTGAATTCGAGCATAACAAAACCTGCTTTGAAGTCTATGTCTGTTGAACCCACATCTCAGTGCTTGGTTACTCTGGTGTCACTGCTCTTGTTGGTAAGCAGTAGTCTGCCTTTCCTGCATTCTGGCTTGTCTAGTGATTTTTGGTTGAAAATAGGGCACTGCCAGGCATGGTGCTGCACATCTGGCTTGGGGGGGGTTAAGGCAGAAAAAATGCAATTCCCAAGTCAGCCCCAGCAACTTAGTGAGGCCCTGAGCAAGTCAGCAAGACCCTGTCTCTAAAAGAAGTACAAAAACAGGATGAAGGTGAGGGTGTGACATGGCCCAGTAACTGGTTAAGCACCCCTGGGTTCAATCCCTGGTACTCCCCCAACCTCCCCCCCAAAAAAGAGAACACTATAATTGGAATGTGTGGTGTTAACTCTGGATTCTGTTTTGTTCTTCTGGGATCCCCCTCCCCCGGTTTTTGTTCACTTTGTTGGCAGATGAAGAGCTTGCCCACACTAGCACAGTGGCACACAGCCGTAATTGGGAGGCTGAGACAGAAGAATCGAAAGTGCAACACCAGCCTCAGCAATTTAGCAAGAGCATGTATCAAAATAAAATTTAAAATGGAGCTGGGACATAGCTCAGAAGTAGAATAGTCCTGGGTTCAATTTCCAGTAACACACACAMAAAAAAAACTTGCCTGAATAAGCCTACAAACAGATCTCAATCTCTCAGCAATAAGCAACTATCTATATCTCTGCTAATTTCTTTCAGATCCTTGTTGTGCACGAACCTGAGAAGTTTAATATTCAGATAAATGAGGTCATACTCAGGAATCTCAAGCCAGCAAGGCTTCCCACCTCAGCCCCCTGAGCTGTGTGTGGCTTGAAGAAAACAGAGTGGCATATTTGCAAATCTTCCCAGGCTTTCCATTTCTTTGGGGGTGGGGGTCTCCCACATGTATCTGTAGTACAGCAGGGAGCCAGAGACCTTGAAAAGCTGGTTATGCTCACCTCCCAGGGGGCATCAGTGGGAAGCTGGGCCACACCACAGCCCCTATCACTGCCATTTGCATGAGAGAAAGAGGCGGCCAGTGCGTGTGTGTGTGTGTGTGTGTGTGTGTGTGTGTGTGCGCGCGCGCGCCTGCGGGGGTGGGGGGGTGGAGGTGGAGTGGGTCCAGGAGCATCAGAGGTAGCAGGCCAGGTCCCCCACCAAGGAACACGCTAGGTTGACGGTACCAGGGACTTGAGAGAAGGACCAGTATGAGCTTGTGCAACAGATGGGAAGAGCAAGCCCAAGTGTCTCCACGGAGAGCAGCGAAGGTCGCCTTCATCCCCTTGGCCTCCGCCATTCCCAGAGCTCGAGACTCCCTATTTGTCCTTTCATTCTTAGTAGAAGTCCCTCCATTATTTGAACACTTTTATTTCATTAGATGTGTGGATAAACGCTGCTCTGAAGTCTGCTCTCCGTGAAGCCCAGCCTGGGCCCACCGGGGGGGCTGCCCTCGCAGTCTCAGGGGTCACACGACTTCACGTGGACTTCTTTCCTCACAGTTCTGGAATCCGAAAGCCCGGCTCCTCCTGCGGCCTCTGTCCTTGGCTTGCAGGTGACCTTCCCTCTGTGCCTGTCTTTGTCCTAATCTGTTGTGTTATTAGGACCCATTTTTACCTTCACTGTCTCTTTAAAGGCCCTATCTCCAAATAAAGTCACATTCTGAGAGACTGGGGACTTCAACGGATGGATCTGGGGCAGACAATGCAGCTCTACAAGGACTATCCACCCCGACTTAGGACGGCGGAAGAAGGGTGCAGAAGAGGGACCAGCACATGGCGCCTTCTGCGAGATGGCCCGGGAGGCGAGGTGGCGAGTGAGGGGGAGACGCAGGCTGGAGACCGGTAGCGTCCCTTGCGGCCGGAGGAGGAGCACGGGCTCCTGCACGCGGGCCGCTCCCCGCAGACCCCGCCTGCTCCAGCCCAGCTCCGGCCGCGGTCTCTGGCGCCCTCTGCTGGACTGGAGACCGAAAACGCCAGGGCCCCTCTTGGCTTCTCGCATCCCTGAAGACTGCCCGCGCGTGGAAACTTCAGACCCGATCCTTGAAATCTCGTTTATACCAGCCACGCCTCGTTCTGAACAGCAGCCCGTGGCTAGTGGCCGCCCCTTTGAACAAGCGCAAAGAATATTTCCAGCATTTCAGAAAGCTCTCTCAGATGTCCTGCCAGTGGCATTCGCTGCAAAATGAGGAGGGGGAGGGGAGGGGGAGGA